TGACGGAAGCCAAGGAGGGCCTGAGATGTCGAGTCTATTTGCAGTCGTGTTGCTACTTTCCCTTGAACTTTGCTGTAGTTCATACTAGGAGGTGGGTATTACTGTGCCGAGGTTGGTCAGTGGTGTCTAGGAGCCATTGTCATGGAGGAAACCCCTCCCAGCACCTGGGCTGGCCGTCAGAAGCTGTCCCATGCTTGTAGACATGCACCTTCTCCCTTCATGGGCCTGAAATTCTCAACTGTTTGTTCCCATCAGACAGTTCTAGGAACTGTGATTGTGTCCCCATTAAAAAAAATGACAAAATCTTCCGTTTTTATGAAAAATCCCACACCCTGCTTTTTCATTGTAACCCCAGATCCTATAAGAAAATGCAATGTAGTATTTTCACTATGAGTACTGAGCTAATATCTATTTCCTGCATTACCAAACTCAGACAAAACACTGGCTCATACTTTTCTGATAAAAAGGAAAAAAATACATTTGTATCTGTAATCAAGTGTAAAAGCTCTCATCAGCTGTCCTTCCTCCTGAGCCCCACCATGTCCCTGTTAGCTGAGTGACGTGCTCACCATGTCATAAAACCGTGAGGAGAGACAGAAAGTGAGGCTGGTGATGCCACCTGCTAGGACGTAAGAGGGACTGGACTGAAACTCAGCTTGGAGATGTCATCCATTTCTCTCTTTTTTTTTTTTTTTTTTGAGACAGAGTCTCACTCTGTTGCCCAGGCTGGAGTGCAGTGGCACGATCTCGGCTGACTGCAACCTCTGCCACCCAGGTTCAAGCGATTCTCCTGCCCCAACCTCCTGAGTAGCTGGGATTACAGGTGCCTGCCACCGTGCCCAGCTAAGTTTTGTAGTTTTTAGTAGAGATGGAGTTTCACCATCTTGGCCAGGCTGGTCTTGAACTCCTGACCTCGTGATCCACTTGCCTCGGCCTCCCAAAGTGTTAGGATTACAGGCATGAACCACCATGCCCGACCTCTTTTTCTCTTTTTACTGTGGTAGAATACGCTTAAAATGTACCATCATAACCATCTTTATTAACATTTTTAATGTTTCAGAACAGGGTCTTTCTCTGTCAGCCAAGCTGGAGTGCAGTGGTGTGATCACGGCTCACTGTAGTTTCCAACTCCTAGGCTGAAGCAATCCTCCTCTCTCAGCCTCCTGAGTACCTGAGACTAGAGGTGTGAGCCACGATGCCTGGCTAATTTTTAAATATTTTTGTACAGATAGGGTCTTGCTATGTTGCCTAGGCTGGTCTGGAACCCTGAGGCTCAAGTGATACTCCCACCTTGGCCTCCCAAAGCGTTGAGATTACAGGCATGAGCCACTGTAGCCAGCCCATTTGAACCATCTTGCCGTGCACAATTCAGTGGCATCTATTGCATTTACCGTGTCGTGCAACCATCACCTCTCTCTAGTTCCAGAACATTTCGTCATCCCAAAAGAGAACCTGTACCTGTTAAGCAATTATTCCCCATCCTAAGCCAGGATGATCTCTTCTTAACTTGACTGCAGCTACAAAGATCCTGTTTGCACATGAGGTCCCACTCACAAATACTGGGGTTTAGGACTTTGGGGGATGCACAGTCCAACCAGTGCAGGTGTGGTGGAAGGCGTGGGCATTCAGAACACAGGAGTCATTGGATATCTATACTTTACAGAGAATCCTATCCTTAGCTCTGTTTCTGCTTCGTTAACGTGGCCTCCTCCCTCCCCTCCCCCTGGCCATAGTGAAACTAAGAACAGTGAGAAAACAGAACAGCAGGTGTCACCTTCCTTCTACCCAAAAGGCAGGTGAGCAAAAGGAGACAGGGACAGGGAAGTGGATGATTCACTGCCCAGACCAGTGGTGTCGACATAACACTCAGACTGTCTCATCTCATACTCACGCAGTCGACATCTCTCCACAGCAGCGTATGCCTCTTTGTACATCTAGTGAGGCATTGGGGTTATTGCAGGAAGGAGTGACTCTAATGGGGCCAAAGTCTTTCTGAGGCAAGTCAGAACCTGGAAACTTATACAGCCTTAGGTGTGTGTCCTTTCCCTAACACAGAGCCAAAAAGAATCTCATCTTTCAAAAGGTAAGTGGAGAAGTTGCAGCTAATGCCGGTAGCATGACCTGTGGCCTCTACCTGGGCTTCATATCAGCTAAGATCTAGGCTTTTAGCTACTTTCAGGCCACTTTGGATGGGCTAGCAAGGTGGAAATACAAAACTAGCAGGCCAATAAGTCACTCGTCTTGCAGAATGATAGAAGTGTCGTGCGTCGAAGCAGCCGGGGTGTACTTGGAATTGATTCAACTGCTGGGCAGGGCAGGGCAGGGGAGAGCATGTTTCTGAAATAGTGTGCATTGTACTTTCCATTTGTAGACTTAATTCTAATGAGTGAGAAGCACTTAACAGGACCACATGGTGATCTCTGTTCCATAGTTAGATCTAACCTGCAGATAGAGAGTAAGTCCCTTCCACATTCTTCCGTGGGAAGAGGACTCAATTTCTCTCCTTGTCTTCTTTCCTGGTTTTCTGACTTACATCTGCTAGATCCTGCAGTATTTTTTTTTTTTTTTTTTGAGACAGTGTCTTGCTCTGTTGCCCAGGCTGGGGTACAGTGGCACTATCATGCTCCCTGCAGCCTTGACCCCCTGGGCTCAAGTGATCCTCCCGTCTCAGCCTCCTGACTAGCTGAGACTACAGGTGCACTTTAGCACACCTGGCTTTTTTTTTTTGTAAAGGAGTGGTCTTGCTATGTTGCCCAAGCTGGTCTGAAACTCCTAGCCTCAGGCAATCCTCCTGCCTCAACCTCCCAAAGTACTAGGATTACAGTTGTAAACTACCATGCCTAACCTTCTGGTACTTTGATTTCATGGATGGCTGACAGAATTTGAAATTTGGATGGCAGCCAGTTTGTTGTTATCCCGAGGGCTTACAGATTAATGTGGAAAAGTCTGTTGTCTGGAAAGAGGTGGGGTAGAGAGGTGTGGTGGGGAAGGGAAGGAGAGATACCAGTAACAACATTTTGGGTGGGTTCCTGCAAGCAGGAAGCTGAGGAGCTGAAGCCAAGATACATGCCCACACCACTGTAAACAGGGCGGACTCAGGCAACATGTGCTGGGTGTAAAATAGGCTTTACACATGCTTGATACATTGTGCAAAGAACTTGAGAGTGGATAAACATGTACATTACCAGACTCTGTGGAACTTATTTTTTGTTCTCTTTACATTCAACTTACAAAAAGTTTCTTCTTTTATTGATTTGACTGGTGGAAGGGAAGGGTCTTTTGCAAAGCATCTATATATTTTTTCCCTCCGAAGGTGTTCTTCTTCCTGCCTGTCTACAGACAGGCTCCACACACCAAGGCAGCCCTTGGCAGGAAGGGTGGATGTGGCTTGGAAGTGTGCTACGGGTCTGAATTGCTGAAAGCCCGAAGCGACATTCTACCCAGCAGTAGAGCACCAATGGAGTGTGGCCCAGACACGGCCCCCTCTCTGGGATTACTGATGCTCAGTTCCTTTCCAGCCCATGAGTCTTCCAGCTTCTGCTGCGGTCCTTGTTATCTTTCCCTGACTTTGTTTAGCAGATGCTTCTGTAACCAAAATGCAGGTTCAGCCGCTCGCCGTTTGCAGAGTGCAATTAGCAAGGGCGAGGTCCGGTATAAAGAAAGTGATTTTTTATTCCAGAGCTTTCTTAGGGGAAGAAGTACAGGCTTCCTGCTTGAGGCCACCAGTTTGCTTTTGGAGCACAAAGCAGGCACTTTAAAGGAAAATGGCATGCAGGGGAGGAAGTGTGTTTTTGTCTTTACACTGGTTTCCAGGGGGCAAGAAAATTTTTGTGGGGGGTGGGGGTGGGGGTGTAAAGAGCCGAAGAGAACGAATGTAAACTTTGCAAACCATCCGGTCTCAGTTACAGTACAGACTCTGCTCTTGCACCTTTTTTTTTTCTTTTCTGAGAGACAGTCTTGCTCTGTCGCCCAGGCTGGAGTGTACAGTGCAGTGGCACATTCTCGGCTCACTGCAACCTCCGCCTCCTGGGTTCAAACATTTCTCCTGCCTCAGCTTCCCGAGTAGCTGGGACTATAGGCACACATCAGCACGCCTGGCTCATTTTGTATTTTTAGTAGAGATGGAGTTCGCCATGTTGGCCAGGCTGGTCTTGAACTCCTGGCTCAAGTGATCTGCCCACCTTGGCTTCTCAAAGTGCTGGGATTATAGGTGTGAACCACCATGCCTGGCCTAAGTGAGTTCTTGAATTATTCTTTTTCACTGCCACTTTTTTTTTTGGGGGGGGGGCGAGGGGATAAAGGATTTTCTTTTTTACTTAATTTTATTTATTTATTTATTTTAAAAACTTTTAGGTTCAGGGGTACACGTGCAGGTTTGTTACATGAGTAAACTGTATGCCACTTTGTGTACCGATTATTTTGTCACCCACGCAATAAGCATCGTACGTGACAGATTTTCCATCCTCATCCTCCTGTCCTTCACCTTCCAGTGGCCCGGTGTCTGTTTTTCCCCGTCTCCGTGTCTGTGTATACCCAGTGTTTAGCTCCCACGTATAAGTGAGAACATGTGCGTCCACTTAGGAGAATGGCCTCTCTACGTCCATCCACGCTGCTGCAGAGGACGTGATCTCGTTCTTTTTCCTTTAATTAAGTAATTTTATTCTTTATGATTTATACTAAGACAGGTATAAATAACTCAAAAAAACTGAGGTTTTTTTTTTTTTTTTTTGCTTCTGAGTAACAGTGGTAACAGTACCAGCAACAGTAGCAAGGATGATAAAACCAATTCTTTAGTTTCCAAGCCAGTTAAGAAATGTTACTATGGAAAGGAATCAGCAAAAACAATGTTACTGTCTTGACACAGTAAAATGTGTGCACAGGAGGGTAAAGGGAGCATGGTTTTACTCAACTAAGTTATTGTAACAATCAGAGCTTCTAAGGTGACTGCATTAGCCAAGCACCAATGAGTTTTGTGGGGTCTGTCTCTGTCGCCCATATAGGACTTGGACCCTCTGTGGAACACCCGAGTACCTGGCCCCGGAAGTCATTCAGAGCAAGGGCCACGGAAGGGCCGTGGACTGGTGGGCCCTCGGCATCCTGATATTCGAGATGCTCTCGGGGTAAGTGGAGTCTCCGTAGAGAATCTTCATCTTACAGGCCAGCACCCCCTTCCCCCACCCATTCATCCCCTCAGCGTTTCTGTAACCTTGAAAACAGTACGTGAGTATCACAGACACACGGTGTGGCTGCACACACATCTGCTGCCCTGCTGAGGTTGGCAATGTGAATTAGCAGTTGAGCTTGTTTGAATAAGAGGCAAAAAACCTAAACTTGTGAAGGAACCACCCATGCATGCCCATTGAGATTTTTATATTGAAATATCCATATCTTCCTTAAATATAAAATTAACGTTCTGGGCTGCTCCAAAGGTGGTGAGTTATCTCAGTTGGTTTTCACAGTTAGCTACAGATTGAACTCCTTGCTCTCCTCTTTTCCCCCTTATCACTTCTGTGTTTAATTAGTCTTAAAAAGAATTTAGAAATTAAAGTAAAAATGAATCTTCTGCACTGACCCTTGCTGAAGTAACCTGCGGAGCTCAGGAGGGCACAGGTTGGGTCAAGGTAAATCAGCCAAATGCAATTGAGTGGCTTCTGCATGAACAGCCGGCGAGGAAGGTGAGAATATGTTCTCTCCTAAAACCGCACACCTGTGGCACAGGAAAGGGGTGCCGACCCAGACCCCAACACAGGGTTCTTGGATCTCTCGCTAGAAAGAATTCGGGTAAAGTCCATAAAGTGAAAGCAAGTGTATTAAGACAGTAAAAGAATAAAAGTATGGTTACTCCTTAGGCAGAGCAGGCCCGAGGGCTGCTGGTTGGCTATTTTGATGGTTATTTCTTGACTATACGCTAAACAGGGGGTGGATTTTTCATGAGTTTTCCTGGAAAGGGGTGGGCAAGTCCTGTAGCTGAGGAGTTCCTCCCCTTTTTAGAGCTTATAGGGTAACATCCTGATGTTGTCGTGGCATTTGTAAACTGTCATGGCGCTGGCGGGAGTGTCTTTTAGTACCTAATGCATTATAATTAATGTATAATGAGCCGTGAGGACGATCAGAGGTCACTGTTGTCGCCATCTTGATTTTGGAGGGATTTGGCCAGCTTAGTAGCAGCCTGTTTTATCAGCAGGGTCTTTGTGTGCCGACCTCCTATCTCGTCCTGTCACTTAGAATGCCTTAACCGTGTGAGAATGCAGCCCAGTAGGTCTCAGCCTCATTTTACCCGGCCCCTGTTCAAGATGGAGTTGCTCTGGTTCCAGCGCCTGTGATCCCTGTGTTGGGTGACATTTGGAAGTCAGGGGAGGTGCCATCCTCCCTGCCACCACATAACAGAGAGGTCGGTCATTTGTTGGGATGTCAACATGATTGAGTGTTCGAGTCTAGCATGTGCCTGGGACAGCTCCACTATGACTTGACCAGAAACGCAAAGGAAGCATGCAACACTTGGAAACCCAGGACGTGGGTGTCATCCTCATTCCGTTGTTAGTACCCAGCATGTCCATTAATTCCCTAAGACGACTCAGTAGCGTGGCACTTTTCCAGAAAGGAACCTGTAGGAAGGAGTGAGCTACGTGTGTGCAGAGGAACTGTTGCACCGTGTGGCTCTGCACGAAAGGCTCTCCTCTCTGGGATGAAGACGAGAGGAAGCCCAGCCTGCGAGGGCCCAGAACACCGGTGGGGGATCCTCTGCCGTGCTTTGCCACAGCCGACGCTCTGCCTTCTATGTTCTCTCTTTTCCTGTTTCCTTCTTTTTTCTGCTTGCCCCTGAGTCTCAAAGACAGACACCAGCGTATCCTCTGAGTGCCTTCCGTTGTCGCAAAAGCCAGATCCTTGCTCACATCTCTCTGATTCCCTGCAGGGGGTCAACACCAGATATTTTTACTGGGAAACTTTCCCTTTCAGTTGGAAACAAAGGAGGGAAGGAGGAGAGGCATTCTCCTGCCTGGAAGGCGTGTCTCAGCCAGATCCTGCTGGCGGGAGCACCCAGACCCAGCGCTTGTTCCTGGGGGTGTGGAGCATGTGACATTCTAACATCCACCTTAGAAAATCCAGGCAGTCACTGACTTTTGTTTGGGGAGCAGACAGGGGTCATCGTCCCATGTGCTTATCTCTGCCATCTTTTATAAAGAAAGTGAATCCGTTAATTCCCACACTAGCTTGGGGATCAGAACGATGTTGAACAAGCACTGCCAAAGAACTCCACCACAAAACCGGAGCCTGAGATGCCACAGGAGGAGAGTGGAACCCACAAACACCTGTATTTCATTGTCTGCCTATCCATGTATATTGTTTATCATCCATCCATCTACCCATCTGTTTATCTATGTTTATATACTTTTCCATCCATCCACCCATCTACCCCTCCACCCCTTCATCCATCCATCCACCCACCCCTTCATCCATTCAACCATCCACCCCTTCATCCATCCATCCACCCACCGCTTCATTCATCCATCCACCCACCCTTTCATCCATCCATCCACCCACCCATCCCTTCATCCATCCACCCACCCCTTCATCCATCCACCTACCCCTTCATCCATCCATCCACTCACCCCTTCATCCATCCATCCACTCACCCCTTCATCCATCCATCCATCCATCTACCCCTTCATCTATCCATCCATCCACCCCCCCACCCCCCTACCCCTTCATTCATCTACCCCCCACCCCTTCATCCAGCCCCCCCACCCCTTCATCCACCCCCCCACCCCTTCATCCGCCCACCCACCTACTCCCCTACCCCTTCATCCACCCACCCACCCACTCCCCTACCCCCTCATCCATCCACCCCCCACCCCTTCATCCATCCACTCCCCCACCCCCCAACCCCTTCATCCATCCATCCACCCCCAACCCCTTCCCTTCATCCATCCATCCACCTACCCACCCCTCAACCCCTTCATCTATCCATCCATCCACCCACCTACCCCTTCATTTATCCATGCATCCATCCATCCACCCCCCACCCCTTCATCCATCCATCCATTCATCCACTCACCCACACACCTATCCCTGTCTGTCTCTGTGGTCTGCTACCTATTATGTATGCATGTATATGTTTATCTATTTATCGTTATCTGTCATCTAAGTTGTCATTTATATATTTATATATCCATCTCTCTGTCTCCATCTCTTTATCTCTACAATCTTTTTATCTGTCTACCTACTTGTTATCTATGTATTTACCTATCATCTATCTGTCATTCATATACCAAGCTATCCATCTGCTTCCTATTTATCTGCCTATCCATCTATTTATCGTCTTTCTATGTAACTGTTTACCTACCTACCTATCCATCTATCAATCATCTATTTACCTATTCATCTGTCTGCTTTTCTATGTATCTATCTATTTATCAATCATCTACATACCTACCTATCTATCTATCTCTACCTTTCTGTCTATCTAGCTATCAATAATCTACCTACCTACCTGCCTGTTGGTCTTTTGAATTTTCCATTACTCTTTGCTGAGACATGCCTACAAATCGTATAGAATTAAACTTCTCAATATGCACTCTAGCCCATTATGTCCCAGGCAAACTCAGAAGGTTGTAAAAATCACTTAGGCATGTTGATCAGCATCCAACCGAGGAAAGCGCCACATTTTCCTTCAGTGATAACACTGACCACACGAGGGCAGCGTTGCCTGAGGATTGTTGTATCCTGTAGTCTAATAGTTTTAAATAGAGTGAGGTTCATGTGCCCCAAATTTTACTCATTATAGGATAGAGTAGACTATTATTAGAATACAGTATACTATTAGAACATAATATTGTTAGAATACAGCATATAATTATTAGACTATAATTAAAACAGTATTAGTTTCAAGGTATGTTGAAGTTAAAAATTTATAAAAATAAATTTAAAAAGAATAGAATATTACCCCCCCAGTCATTAGAATGACTGTATTAGAATTATTATATAAAGTTATGAGAATTGTTAATAGGCTATAACATATTGGAATATTTATATATATTAGAATATAATAGAATAGAAAATAACCTAATTATAATGTAATAAATCATTAGGCTAATTGAAAATGAATAATTAGGCCAGGCACCATGGCTCACGCCTGTGATCCCAACACTTTGGGAGGCCGAGGTGGGTGGATCACCTGAGGTCAGGAGTTGGAGACCAGCCTGGCCAACATGGTGAAACCCCATCTCTACTACACATACAAAAAAAGCCGGACAGCCGGGCACGGTGGCTCAAGCCTGTAATCCCAGCACTTTGGGAGGCCGAGACGGGTGGATCACGAGGTCAGGAGATCGAGACCATCCTGGCTAACACGGTGAAACCCCGTCTCTACTAAAAAAAAATACAAAAAAATAGCCGGGCGAGGTGGTGGGCGCCTGTAGTCCCAGCTGCTCGGGAGGCTGAGGCAGGAGAATGGCGTGAACCCGGGAGGCGGAGCTTGCAGTGAGCTGAGATCCGGCCGCTGCACTCCAGCCTGGGCGACAGAGCGAGACTCCGTCTCAAAAAAAAAAAAAAAAAAAAAAGCCGGACATAGTGCCTGTAATCCCAGCTACTCGGGAGTCTGAGGCACGAGAATCACTTGAACCTGGGAGGCAGGGAGGTGGCAGTGAGCCAAGATCGCACCACCGTACTCCAGCCTGGGCAACAGAGGTAAGACTCCATCTCAAAAAAAAAAAAAGAAAAAAAAAAAAGAAAGTGAATAATTAAATGAATAACCATCTCCCAATCAAAGCCCAGTCTGCTGACCTGTGCATTTCATGAGGCAGGGAGCTATTGATTCACAGTAGGCCTCTTTTTATTTTCCTTTTTTCTAATTAGAGTCTATTTCTGGGTGAATATTGTTTTTTCAATTTCTCAGCAGCCCTGTGTCTTTTCACATGGGTGGGTGTTTTGAGAGTTAACCAGCTTCGCTGACCCCAACTCTCCCAGGCATTCCTGTGCTCTTCCCCAGCTCTGGCCGGCTTCAGGTTGCCTGGACCACCCCAAGCCTTCTCACTGTCTCCTGCATCCCCTCCGCCTGCAGTACATTTTCCTGGAAGCAGTTGCAGGCACCCTGTCCACGCGCCCACCAGCTGTGCCCCTC